CGAGCCAATGAGAGCCGTCCAGCAGGGAGGGAGAAGAGCCAATGAGAGTTACTCAATCTAGTCACATTCCTTAGAGAACACACACGCACACACACACACATACACACACGCATGCACACACATACACACGCACACACACGCACGCACGCACACGCACACACACATACACGTGCATGTGCACGCACACACACACACACACACTCACACACACGAGGCCACACTAAAGGCAGTCTTCTGGTGCCTTCTGCTATGCACTCCGGGGAATCGTGGAGGCCGGCGATCGGCACCGGTAGGAAGACCTTCCTCGTGTCTGCCCTGTGAGCCTACACCCCACGGCTGAAGGGCCTGCACCGCTCCGTCCGCACTGGGGTTGTCGGGGGGAACAGCCACTGTGTCTGTTCCCCTGGGCGGAATGTGACCCCTTCCCTTCCAATTCTGGCCTTTCCCTCGGCCTCCTCAGGACTACACGGCCACCATCTACCTCCGCCAGCGCTGGACAGACCCACGGCTGGTATTTGAAGGCAACAAGAGCTTCACCCTGGACGCCCGCCTGGTGGAGTTCCTCTGGGTGCCCGACACGTACATTGTGGAGTCCAAGAAGTCCTTCCTGCACGAGGTCACCGTGGGGAACAGGCTCGTCCGCCTCTTCTCCAACGGCACGGTCCTGTATGCCCTCAGGTGAGTGGTTCCTGGCTCCGCAGCTCTGTGTGCGCTCCACTGGTGCGTGAGTGGTCACTGTGTGCGCTCGGGTGAGCGGCTGGCTGACGCTCCCCGCAGGGCCCTGCCAGGGCCAGGACGGGTGTGCCCCACCCCTCAGAGGCCTGGGGACCCGAGCCCAACGTGAACGTGACCAGTGCGTACTTCCATCAACAAGCCACGTGCTAACCGGCCATCATGGAAGTTTCTAGGCCCTCCTCTGCAGCTCTCCACCCTCCCAGAGTGCCACAGCTCAGCTTCTCCTTAGGGGCCTCTCCCAGCCCCCACCGTGCTCCTGTTCCCGTCCCCCGTGATCCCACAGCACATATGTGCTTGTGTGCATACTGTTCATACGTGCATGCGTGTCTGCGTGCGTGCCTGTGCGGCTGCCTGAATTTCAGCGTGTCGCCTGGTCTGTGTGCCATTCTGAAGGGCCGGGACGGCCAGCAGCTTGGCTTGGGAGTCTGGACGGTCAGGATTCGAGTCCTCCTCTGTCCCCAGCACGCCTGTGACCCCAGACCCCTTGGCTGACGCTCAGTCTTTCTTCTCTTAGAATCACAACCACTGTTACCTGTAACATGGATCTGTCCAAATACCCCATGGACACACAGACCTGCAAGCTGCAGCTGGAGAGTTGTGAGTACACACCGCGGCCGGGCTGGCTCGGCTCTGTCTAATGTGAATTAGTTAGAGCGCTCACACGGGGACGCAGTGCGGCGGCAGAGGTGCGGGCCGAGGCAGGAGGCTGCACTGGGCTGAAGTAAGCGCCCCCAACCCTCGCAGCACTCCTGACGTAGCCTGGGGTTCTTAGAGAAAAGCTGGCTAACAGGTGCCCTGGGGAAGGACCGTGTGTGTGTTCGCGCCGTCTAGTAGACAGCCGAGTGGAGGCAAGGCTCCGATGAGGCTCCACACCCTACCCGGTGAGCGGCCCCGTCACCCCACCAGCCGCCCCGTCGCCCTGCGAGCCGCCCCGTCACCCCGCGAGCGGCCCCGTCGCCCCACAAGCCGCCCCGTCGCCCCGGCCTTTCGCCGTTGGACTAGTGATGTGGCCTGGTGCACAGCGGTGCACACTCGCTCACACGTCCACGGCGGCCATCTCCCCGAACCACAAAGCTCAGCACCTGCGACAGATTGCACAGCCCAGAAAACACACCATTCCCCTTCCCTGTGGGGCTTCCGGCGCCTCCAAAAGTCCAGTCTCTGTGAAATCCTTCTCCCAGACTCTCGCAGCCGGCAGCCTCCTCAGTGAGAGCCCCGGGTGGTAGACGCCGTCTCGGTGGCAGCAGCGGTGACAGCACCTGCTGCTTAGCCGTGAGCCCTTCCGCGTGCCACCTTTGGCTGCTCACCCTCAGAGCGCCAGTCCTGCCCGCCACGACAGCCGCCAGACCTGGCTGTAGCTCTTCGCCAACCACCCAGAGCTATGCCTTGAATTCCATAAAGCCTCAATGCTTTTCTAGCGCAAAAATCACCACAGCTGCTAGAAAACCCCATATGCCCTGTGAGGATGGGGGCGGGGGGAGGGGACCTCAGGCAGGAAATGCAGAGCGCGATGAGCCCAACTTGCATGGCTCTGCTGTCTCTGCCCAAACAGCCCCCCCCACCCCATATCAACAACAAGAACAGAGAAGCTCTTCTCCGGCAAACGCCACGGTGCCCATGTGCCAGGCCCTGCTAGACACCTTCCAAAATCCCAGTGAGATAAGTCCCGTCGCCCCTCTGTGGTTACAGACAGAGGCTGGTTGAGCCACGCTGGGGTGGAGGTGGGGTTTGAGGACTCCTAACCCAGCCAGAGGCGCCCCAAAACCTTGTTCCAGCGGCTCACACGTGATCAGAGTTCTGCGTTTTCCCCGAGCAGGCCGTAAAGTGATGTTAAATAGCAATGTGGGGATGGGGAGAAGCTTTTCACAGCTCCTCGCCAGTGTCTCTGGTGCCTGTTTAGCATCCTTATCTTCCCCAAACTGAGGCCCCACGGCGCTCACCCCAGCCCACAGGTGTTACACGGGCGATGGCGTGGTCATCGGTTCCCCAAACGTCTCCCGCGAGTCACTCAGGGCCACGGCCAGCTTTCCTTGCCTGTGTCCGAGGACGTGTTGGCTCGTCCTCCTGTCTCAGTTCCACACTTTCCCTCGGAGGCCCCGGCCAGCCTGCACGGCGGGGTGGGGGCCAGCCAACGGCCTCACTCAGGAGCAAACCACCGAGCGAGGCCCAGGGCGGCAGACAGAAAGGATGCTCCAGCCTCCGAGGATTCTAACACCAACCCCAGGCGCAGGGCCGACCGCATGGCAGAGCAGGCAGGTGTACCACGGGAGCCTGGGTGCTGGACTCCCTGTCCCCGGGGAAACGAGGTCAAAACTGACTCAGGGACGAAGAGTAGGACACAGAATCTGCTACACACGAGCGAGCAAGAACGTAACAAAGGTCAGAGAGGGCAGCGGGGAGCAAGGGCGCCACCCAGTGGTGGGGCCTTATCTACCATGTGCCAGGGCCTAGTCTGTCAGACCCTCAACCACACACACACACACACACACACACACACACAGAGGCACGCACACACACACGTACCACCAACATGTAAGAAAATACCTGACGCAAAGAAAGAAGCCGGTGGCTCACGTCTGCAAGGCCGATATTGGGAGGATCATGGTTCATGGCTAGTCCCGGTTAAAAAAACAAAACAAAACTCCTGAGACGCTTTCTCAGTTGATAGCTGGACACAGTGGTGTGCCCCGGTCATCTCAACTACAATAGAAAAAAAAATTAGGATTATTGTGTACTGTGGCCCAGCCACAGGCCTGGGAGGAAACGGGACCCTATCTGAACAGGAACCTGTGCAGAAAAGGACGGAAGGTGTGCTTCAAGGGTAAGAGAGCCGGCCTCAGGAGTCTGAGTTCAAACCCAGCGCCGTCAGCTGATCTCAGTCAAGTGTGAAATGAGCATGCCAGTGCGCCTGCGTGGTGAATGGGCTCCTGCGTGGTGATCCGGGGCTCCTGCGTGGTGAATGGGC